ATGTGACCGGGTTTGCCATAAATGTAACAGACCCAGCACTGTCCGAAGTGACGACACCCGCATTTAGTGCACTGCTGAGAGCTCACTGTACTTGGGGCAGGGGTAAATACTGTTGGGCTCTTCTGTGACCCGTGATAACTACTATGATAGCTCCTTTGTCCTTGGCCCCTTTGAAATGGACCCTTCTGCCTTCCTTGGTTCCATGAGCTACTCGAACCCTGGTGGTTTTTCTTCAAAATGCCTCCGATGGGTCAGGGGTAGGTTGGGGGTCTACTATATGAATAACCCCTCTTCTCTCTCTTGACCTCCTTCTTACTGCGAGCTATTACTTGTAGTTTTATGCATATTTCGTCATAATCTCGAATATCTAGATGAGCCAATTGCTCCCTCAATTCTGGTCTAGCCTTCTCCAATAAGCGCTTGGCCTTCCATTTAGAATCATCCCTATACTACAAGTATGTGGAGTATCTAGATAACTCCTGAAACTTAACAATGAATGTGTCCTCATATAGGTTTCCTTGCTTAAGCATGGAACTCAACTTCCTTCTCAGACCTTAACCTTGATGGAAAGTAATGCCTGAACAATTTTTTTTTCTTTAAACTCCTCTCATGTGAGTGTCGAATCATCCTTGAGTCCCACTGTCTCCCACCAATCTCTTGCTCCCTTCACTAGGAGCACTAATGCTACTTGCACCTTCTAATTACTAGTGCATGTGACTACTCGAAAGATGGACTCGAGTCTCTTCACCTATTCCTTTACCACCGATGGTTTAAGGTTACCATCAAACGTGAGAGGGTTAAACTTCCTAACAGTTTTCCACACATCAATAATGGTCGGTGGGGCACTCTGTTCCTCTTACCTAATCTCCTCCCTTCTAAGCTCATAATCTCTTGGAATGGTAGGATGTGAGGAACTGCCTTCCCCTATATGACTCTCAACATGAGCCCTATCTCCATTCTCAGCGAACTTTATCTTTTTAACTCCGTCAACTCTCGTTTATATTTTTGAACCTTGTCTGTTAACGTCTTTACAAGCACTCTTAATTCCGCTAAATCAGGCTCCTCATTTGGCGGTGGAGGTGGTGGGTGCTCATGTTGGGATCCTAAATTATTACAAGTAACAGGCATTTTCTCTCCCCTCCTAAAGGATACAAGATATAAATAAAATTAACCTAGCTATATAATGGCCATACAATGAAAAGCACCATAACAATGTATATTGCCAACCGACTATATGCAATGCACCACATATAATAAATACATGTTAAATTCACACAAGTGATAGTTTCAAACAAAAGTTTAAATAAGTATTACTAAAATAGAGGCTCGAAACATGATGCTCTGATACCAATATTGTAACACCCTCAAATTTACAAACAGATTTTTCATAAATTATTAAAACCATTATCATGGTAGAAAATTTTCTTACCATGATACATCCAAGACATAACACAAGTCTTAAAATATCCAAAAAGGCAATTAGAACTATGAGGGACAGACATAATCCTCATGTCATGATATTCAAATCAGATCATAAATCAAGAGGGATAGACATAATCCTCTTGGTCATATAAATACTTTTAATAAAAAGGATTAGAGTTTACATGCTTCACAAAGAAGATATGTCCTAAGTTGGCACAAGATATATTGTATAATCTAAAATAAGAGGTAACGTAAAAGATGGTCTCTCATACACCATAGTTACATCTCTGGTGCTTTCTCGGCCGGACTCGCTCCTGTAAAAATATTAACCATGGGAAATGAGACTTAAAAGTCCCAGTAACCAAAAATTAATATGTAATGATGCATGCGGATGTAACTAATCATGCGATTGCTAAGTGAGCACACAAAACATTTTAACCGAACAATACTTTCAAACAAACCGAACAAGTATTTAATTTGCATGACTGCACCTTATATCCTCCTTTCGCCATGCTCGAACGCCAAATCACCCAGTCAAAGGTGAGTTGGACCAAGCGACACGCCACTCATTGGGTCCAATGAGGGCTTACCACGTGGTAATAATTAACCGAACAGAAATTCTCATTAACACCATACATTAAATACCTTGACAAGTCATGCATCATTTAAATATCCAAACAGGAATATATCCGAACAATAATATCTCATCATGATAAACAAAAATAAATTTTTAACCCACTTGGCAATAATTTCAAACAAGTATATACAGTATTTATTTTTAATAATTCATAATTTCTCCAAACAACAAAACAACACATAACCATTCACAAACACACCCATCACAACACATTAATAATGGTTACCTTGTGTCTTGAATAACAAGTTTTCTCGTCACAACTCCTCTTTCACCACTATCTTTGTCAATATAATCTACATAATTATTTCACAATACTATATATTAATTTTACATTAAAATAAATAACTCTAATTTAAAAAGTTAGAAAGTCTTAGATTTATAATTCATATTAACACTAATTTTAGATTTATGCCTCATTTAACTTTCCAGATTATTTTCTAAAATTCTCGTACCCTAATAAACTATTTTTTTATCCTCAAATCACTTTTAGTATCACAATTTCATCCTTCTATATTCTAAAAATTCGTCCAAAAATAAATTAAAAATTTTAGAATTATCCTGAAGCCTCAAATCACCTTTCTATAACCTTAAAAATACCTATTTATACTTAAATAAATATTTAATAATCAGAGGTTCATTCAGACATCTCAGATTTCACATAAATTCAACCATATAGATCTAGATTTTAACTCAAAAATTCTTAAACATGAGTTTTAACCTCAAGAAAATATTCTATAATATTTATTATATCCCTAAGAGTTTTAACCTATATTTTAATCCATCATACCATCAGATTAACTTCCTATAGAAAAATTCTAATCAAAATATTTACTCTATCTTACAAAATAATCATATCACTAGAAAGCTAATATTATTTAGAAAATAACTACAAAATTAATTTTGTAATTAAATAAATTTTTAAATGCTAATCTAAACAGGAAAGTTAGAACATACTTGAAGAAAAAGAAAATAATCCCCCCTTGCGAGAAAACGCCGAGCAATGTGAGAGGAAGAGAGAAAAATAATATAAAAATGGGATTGTGAGTTCCAAAATTATATTAAAAAAAACTATAGGTCTGAATTTAATTATTCAAACCTTTGAACCATAAGTTACAATTTTCTCTAAATTGTATTTTAGCCTATCATGCTTCCTAATGCACACACCCCCTCCTTTTTATAGATGAAAGCACCTCTTCTCTTCCCTCATCTAACTAATGTGGGATTTAGAAACAACAACCTTTCACTCCCTTTTTTTTTCCTTCTACCTTCTCTTTTTTTTAACACACACATAAAAAAAATTATTTATGTATTATATCTTAACTAAATATTGCTTATGTGATTTTAAATTTTAAATTTTTAAATTTATAATTAAATACCTAATCATAATATTATTTCTAAATAACCTCAAATAATATAAATTCCTATTATTATCATTTTTTTTAAAACCTAAATTCTACAATTTCTTTATTATATAAAAATCAGGATGTTACAGTTCAAATTATTTACAGGTCTCAACTATTAATTCATGCTCACTTTACATATTTTCTAAAACATCAAAGAGCATTTTTATATATAAATATACATTTCACAATTCCCTAATAAAAAAAATACTTAAAATATGCATGTAAAGAAATTTAAATTTTTAATTACCTCTACCCATTGAGTCAATTAAAAGAGGCATCCGTGGACACTTGGCAATTCAATGCTCCTACTTGCTTCAAGAATTCAAGGGAGCTAGTCTAAAATTTAAACAACTCAAAATTATCAATTCTCTACTATAAACATAATTTTCCTAATTATCCATTCCACTCAAAAATTCCAAAACTAATATTACTTCATAAATTAGATACCCACCAGCTCAAGTGACTCATCTATATTCTAATGGGGCTAACCAAACCCATTATCAACTTATTTAATCCTCAATTTTCTCAATTTTAGGTCCCTCTAATTTGCTCAAAATTATTATTAAATTCAAACTAAAAATTTTAAATTGGTTAAACCTTAGTTCCAACTTATATAAACATTTTCCAATCATTAAATTAAGGTTTAAATAGTCAGAATGTCATTAACCACGTCAAAATGCATGCTTTATTACAAACCCTAACCTAACAATTTCTAAATCAAGCATTTGGACAAATCTAAACTAATTAAACACTTAATCTAACTTCAGAAACATATTTAAACTCAAATTAAGTTAGAATTGTTCCAAATTCAAACTCGTAGAAAACTCCAAATTCTCCCACTGTCAAAAAATTCAGAAAAAATGCTTAGAAAATAGAAAATTATTTAGAAAATTTATCTTGTCCGGACGCGCCTCTCTCAATTGCACACGGTCTGGACAACGCTAGCTGGAGAGGATGAAAGGAATAGCAAAAAGGAATGGCCTTCTCACGGATTTTAAATAACTGGGTGTGGGTCTCACAATTTTTCCATTCATATTTTTTCCTTTTATCATACACTTTGTTCCTTAAAAAATACAAATGATTTTTAATCAAATTTCACTTTTAATAAAATAATTAATTATTTTTAAATTAACACAAACCTTTTATATTTAATCTTATTGTTTTACTTTAAAATAAATATAAGATAATTTATGCATTTGAGGCACTTTAAAAAATATAATAATTATATTTTAAAATATTAAAAATATTTTATATTTCTAAATATCAAACCTCTTAGAAATAGTACTTGACGTTTTCGAATGAAGAGAGCATATACACACCCATCTAATAATCCTAAACCGTGGCCCCCCTTGTTTTACATTATATATATATATATATATATATATATTATTCTCCTTTCTTTGTTTTCTCTATGTTTTTTTTATTACGAAGTATATTACCCATTTTTTAGGTACCAAATGTACAAATTAACCTTTCTCCCTCCCTTTGTCATAATTTAAAAAGGGGATTTCTCTGCGTACCAAAACATAACACATTTTGGGGTACCAAAATGGCACTGGCAGGAGAAAATGTCACAAAAATGGCACATCAAGAGGCCAGGCGATAGGGACAAGCCCACCTTCGCAGTTCCCAACCCGTACTTCCAGCAGGCGGGAAACAGAAACGGGAAAAAAAAAAAAAGTTCTCTCAAGTCTGAACTTTTTAAATAATCCGGTCGGCACACTCACTCGTCACTAGCAAGTCCCGGCGGGAAATGAAGGAATCCGGCAAGGGCTCTGCGCCTCCGTCGGTGGATGAAAGATACACTCAATGGAAGTCTCTGGTCCCTGTCCTGTACGACTGGCTCGCCAACCACAACCTCGTCTGGCCGTCACTTTCCTGCCGGTGCTTATCCTCTTTTCAAACTTCTTCTTCTTCTCATCCACCGTCATTTATTTTATTTTTTTAATAATGTCGGTTTTATTGTATGCTGGGAAATAATGACTTGGGAGATAAATGAAACACGATTTTGGGCTGGTCAACCTGTTTTTAGAATGATTCGCCGGTTTAGGAAATGTAACATGTAACTTTAATGCTTTATTTTGCCATCTTTTGTAGTGGTTGAGTGCTGTGGATAATGGGTTAAGGAAAATCAGAGGTGTTAATTACGGTTTTTATATAACGTGTCTAGTTTTATATTAGTTCGTTTTTTTAATTATTCAGGCTTTACCCTGAAAAAAGGTATTAAGGTAAGCTTAATGTCAAAGCTTTTTCTTTGTTTAGTTTTTGTTGACCCTTAGACAATTCTTAGTTTGACATTTGTTTTTTTATGAAGTGATATCACATCAAAAACTGTTATGATTGCCAGTGGGAAATAGTACTCTGATTAGATATTGAATGAAAATTTATTTGTGATGTCCATATAATCTGTGTGGGAGAACATGATTGTGAACTATTGAGTTTTTAACATTACTTTATAATAATAGATTGAAGTGCTGGCTTAAAAAATGCCGGGATATTCTCGTAGTTTTAATTCCACTCTGCCTGAGAGATGATCCTCTTTTTCATGTTGTGATTCCCTATGACATTCTTATGGCAGATGGGGTCCACAGCTAGAGCAGGCTACATACAAGAACCGTCAACGTCTCTATCTTTCTGAACAGGTGAATAATATTCTCTTGCAGCAATTTATCTGAGTTTTAGCCTGGATGGAAAAGGCAACAGTTTCATTTAAAATGTTGTGAGACGCTTCCATCTACTTGTTTTGTAAACCATCTCTTATTTTTGAAAGTTTGGTGTAAAAGTTCATTGACCATCATCCCTGTTTGTGTTGTTTGTCTACAACAGTTCTCTGCTAAGATTTAAAACTTACTATCCTATAAATCTGGCATAGTGTATTTCAAAGTATGGTTTTAAGCTGCCTATTGTCCAAACCAGGCAATTTCTCATATTTGTATGTTATTTTTTGTTCCTTTGCATGATCGCCTTTGTTCTCATAAAATCTTATGTTTATCTGTCCAATTTGGTTTCCCTTACAATTTCTCTTACTTTCAGACTGATGGAAGTGTACCAAATACTCTTGTGATAGCAAATTGTGAGGTTGTAAAACCTAGGGTTGCAGCAGCTGAGCATATATCGGAGGTAATATCAATTCATTTTTTCCTTAAATTTCTCCCTCTCCATGCATTTACTTTACTATTTAATTTTGTGATTGTCTGGGACCATTCTATTGCTAAAAGCTTAGGCTCTTTTGTGGGGCCTGGAAATGTGTTATTAGCGTGATGAAGTTAGCATCCAAGCTGTTGCAGGTTACTTTGTGTTTTCCTGATCTTTCAGTTTAATGAAGAATCACGTTCTCCATTTGTGAAAAAGTACAAAACTATTATACACCCAGGCGAGGTATGCATTACTTGTAGAAGCCCTTCGTATTCAATATTAGACTGCTTCTTATTCTTCATCACTATTTCAATGTCACGTGGATCATCACTGGTTTTATGAGCAAAATTTTATTGATGCCTTTTTGTGCTTTCATAAATACTTGAAGTGATACATGAGATTTTGGAATATTTGGGGAACTAGGGATATAGGGGTAGTTCGGGTATTTAGTATATTCTATATAAATAGGTCTCTAGGTTGTAGAATATACTAAATACCCGAACTACCCCTATATCCCTAATTCCCCTAATATTCCTAAATCCCATGTATCATGAAGTTTCTGATAATCTGATAAGTATAATTAACTTTCAAATGACCTGATTATAAGAAATTTAAATCTGAGAAAGTTATACGTACTTATTGAGTTCAGGGAAGAGAGAAATTTTACTGCAAAGGGCATGATAAAGGCTTGGTTCTTTCTTTCCTTTTTTTCTTGGCTGTAGTGAGGAGTAACTACTTAAACCTGTACTGCCTTTTGCCAATTATATTCTTTTAGGTGAACAGAATTAGGGAACTCCCTCAAGACAGTAAGATAGTGGCCACCCACACAGATAGTCCTGAGGTAAGCATATACTTATGAGCTTCCATTTTCCCTTTCAAATTAGTATAATCAAGAATTGGGTATATCTATCTTTTTTTAAATCTAGCAGCTTATCCTTTATTTTGTTGCAAGTGGGCTAGTATAAATTTGATGGAGGAATTAAGCTCTTCCATTTGCAAAACAGGTACTGATATGGAATGTTGAAACTCAACCTAATCGCCATGCCGTCCTGGGAGTTGCTGCTTCCCAGCCAGATATGGTTAGTTTCTGTTTGAAATGTAAAAATTTAATGGCAAGAAACAAGTAAATTAATTTAATTGCTTTCATTGCTACAAAACTGTAAAATGTTTGGAAGTAAAAAATGGTTCTTGTTTCCTGAATGGTATATATTGCAATTTATCAAATACATTGAATGTTTAATTCATCAAGTTGATTTTTGTATATTTCAATTCATGTTGGGAAGTTGAAATCCTGGCTGCACCTTTTTGTAGACATTGACTGGGCATAAAGATAATGCTGAATTTGCTCTGGCAATGTGCCCAACTGAACCCTTTGTTCTTTCTGGAGGTAGGAGCCTTTTTAATTGCTTATGATATTTAGAATCTATTTTTAAACTTCATCTTTATATGAATTCTCCCTCTAGACCACAATATTTGTCATTGTTAACTAATTCATGGTTTATGAAAAACATTTATTGAAACCTTATTTTCTTAAAAATGTCTACATCTTTTCATTTATGCCATTGGGTTTTCCTAGTAACACGTGCATATTTTTTAAATACATTTAAAGATAAGGAATAAAAAAGCGTAAGGGTATAAAGGGGGGAAAACAAAATTTATCCAAATCTATTATATTTTGAACCAAGGGGTGCTTCTAGAAAGCAACTTATATTGTTGGAGGGAATATCTTATAAAGATATTATCTTTTTGGGGTCTGTGGTAGAAAATGAGCTTAAAGGTTGCAGATTATCATAGTACCCTTCAGTGCCATTGGCATTGGCCTTGCGACCATAGTTCATGTATTTATGCAGCATTGGTTTCCTATATCAAGGATTAGAAGAGAGACAATTAGCCAATGGTGGTGCACCCTAGTGCGCCCAGCTTTTATTTCCCTTAATGCACATTCTGTGTGGTTGAATTCCTATTGAGTCACCCTTGTGAATCTGATCTTTTGAAATTTTGAGGCACCCTTGTAAACCAACCCCTTGGGGCTTTGCAATAAAACTAGGCGCCACATTTTCCCTATGAAAAGATCTTCAACTCTAACTTATCTAGTGATATACTGGCATGCATTGCTAGTAATAGTTGAAATGAGGGTCAGAGGTTTTCTTACAAAAAGAAAAAGGCGTTAAAGGCCTTATAAAGCCCCTTTTGAGACAAAATATTATCTCTATATAGCTGATGAATATAACTTTCTTCTCTTCCTGGACAATCTATCTTGTATACTGTACGTTGCATTTTGTTTACTTTGTGAGAACTTTGCGTGACAGGCAAGGACAAGTGTGTGATCTTATGGAGTATTCATGATCATGTTGCAAGTTTAGCAGCTGAAGGAGCATCCAATGCTAAACAGAGCACTAAGGCTGGAGGGAATGGTGAGAAAACTACAGATGGCCCTTCTATTGGACCACGGGGCATATACAAGGGACACAAGGACACTGTAGAAGACGTACAGTTTTGCCCATCAAGGTAATTCCTCCTGCGTTATTCAGTTGTATGTGTCAACTATGTGTAGCTAAAAATTGTTATTCACAGTAATCATTTGCACTTCATCTCACTTTCTGCTAGTAATTTTGGTTACTCAATGGAGTTTTAATATGGCTGACTTGTGATATTAGATATTATGTTATTCAAAATCCCCATTGATTTAAAATAGTAATTTAATTCCAAATAGATCAGAATTAATTTCAAAATTTTAAATTCCCATTCAGTTGTCATTCAGATTTTAAGGAATCAGCCTTGCTGAGTTCATTGTCATTTTTTTTTTGTGGTTGTTGATTAATCATCATGTTTCCATTTTGCTGTTTTCTGATTTGTTCCACAATTTTCTGTATGAATTGAAGTGTGCACGAGTTCTGTAGTGTTGGTGATGATTCTTGCCTCATACTCTGGGATGCACGATTGGGATCTACTCCAGCATTCAAAGTATATTTCACCTATTCTAAGTATTATCTTTTTATTAATGAGTAGAGGTTTAGAAGCACAACATGCTCACAAGCTAATAAAAGTCAAGGTGGTGTGGAAAGTACTAATTTAAATCTAATCTTTATATCATATAGCTGTTTTACTGTATTTAATTTGTTCATTTTTTGTGGGCTGCGTCTAGAACTTGGTGGCTTTAGAAATTTTTGTGGTAATTACTGGTTCAATTGAAATTGAAGTTTTGTCTTCATATTTACTGATACTTTAGTTTTTCTTTCTGATTTTTTTAATATATCTTCCTTTGTGGTGCGGATGCAAGAAACTTATCGGTCTTAATATTCCTTGTAAGAAAAAGAGCATGATGTCATTAGATGCCTTACTTGCCATGTTGCTGTTTGTAGTTTTTGTTGTTTTAAATTCACAATCAACTCAAGTTTTGTTGTCTTGATTATTGGGTAATTTGTCCTTTCAACTCTTGAAGAAAAATAATAATTGAAATCTGAATATACTTCATTTTTTATCACGTCTTTTTTCCTATTTTTGGTTATCTTTTGAGCAGGTAGAGAAGGCACACAATGCAGATCTTCATTGTGTTGACTGGAATCCTCATGATATTAATTTTATTCTGACTGGGTATTCCTGCCTCCCATTGAATAGTTTTATCTTACAGTTCCATACTCAAAATTATGATCCTATATGTTATTTTTGGGCTGTCTTTTTTAATTCTTGGGAAAATGCAACAATTGGTCTCTATACTTTAGCATATTTTGGTATTAGTCCTGATACTTTTATTTTGTTGTTCCAAATCTGTTAAGTTTCATATGTCTATAATTTTAGTCCTTATCATCACTGATATAGTTAAATTTATTGATATGTACATGACTTTGTTTAATTTTGTTGGTGACTTTGGTAAAATTGTGATGAGTTCGATATTGTGTAAGTAAAGTGACTATTAATCTTTCTGTCTGTTACCCTAGCTGTGTGTTTTCTTCCTTTTGAAACTTCATTCATTGCATGCTTAAAGATTCTGATTTAATATCCCGCTTTTTTCCCCATCTTCTACTCATTTTATATAACGCATCATAATTTTAACAAGTCATTAGTATAAGACATAACAGAGTTCATGCACAAGTTACCCACCGTTTAGTCCTTATGGTTATATTTAAAAATATAGGAACTAATATTACAGAGGGATGAAACTTAAGGGACTCGAAACAATGAAATAAAAGTAAAGGGACTGATATCAAAAAACACTAAAAAGTATAGGGACTAAAAGTTATATTCTCTCTTAGTTCTTCATGGATTTAATTTGTAGTTAGACTGCTTATCCTGTTCAAATGCCAAAGCACTTCATAGGACTATTGGATTCTCTGTCTAATTTTTGGTTCTTTGGCTTCAGTTCGGCTGATAATACAGTTCATATGTTTGATCGTCGGAAATTTAGCAACGGTGGTGGAGATGGGTCTCTAGTTTATAAATTTGAGGGTCATGATGCAGCTGTCCTGTGTGTGCAGGTGACTATTGACATTGCCTTATTGATTTCAATTAACTTGCTGCTTTCAAATGCATGTTGATTTTTTTTATTTTTTTCCCCTTTTTTCCTGGTCTATTCAAATGCATTTCAGTTTTGGGAATTTTGGTTGTAATTGTTACTCTACAATTATTCATCTGTTTCAGTGGTGTCCTGACAAGTCGTCTGTATTTGGAAGTGCTGCTGAAGATGGCATTGTAAACATATGGGATCATGAGAAGGTCTGAATGTTTCAAATTTGAACTCATAGGGTTGCTTCATTTTGTCCTTCACTGCGTTGCTGTCCATCATGTTTTTAGTCTTCTTTTTCTGATGTAGCACTGATCTTTTTTTGCCTAGGTTGGTAAAAAAAAGCCAGATTCTGCTGGTGGTCCAAAAGTACCCAACTCCCCTCCTGGTTTATTCTTTCGACATGCTGGACACAGGTATGAAATATATATGCGTTGGTATATTCTAAATGTTATTTGGGTAATTTAAGAAGACTATATAATTGCAAATTTTCTCTTTATTCCTTATCCAGTATTCCAGTTGGGTTGGAACTCCTTTGTTGTAACAGGTTTGAGTTTGACATTTTAGTTTACCAATGATCGGAAGAGATTTCACATGTGCGTCTGTGAAAGAGATAAAAGTCATAACAATATACGATATTTTCAGTCCCACCTAGCTAACTTCCACTTTGGCATAATTGAATAGTGATATCTTAAGGTGTGGCCAAATAAATGACAGAGAGATAACATTGCAGCAAAAATCTACTTTGGTTTCAATCTTGATAGGCAAGAAAAATTAACGCGCACATATACATGTGCATGCACATACATATAAAACTGAATTATCAAATAAATGAAAAAATGATTTGACATGCTTGTTTGTACATGTTGAATTGTTGAGCCACTAGTAATATTTTGATATGCGACTAGTATTGCAGGCTTCCAGCAATGGTATCTTCGGCTTTTATAATATTCTTTCGCTGGCTAATAAATCAAATGCGCACTCAGTTAATATTTACTTATTCGTTCAGGGACAAGGTTGTGGACTTCAACTGGAATGCTTCTGACCCATGGACAATTGTTAGTGTCTCTGATGATTGTGGAAGTACTGGTGGTGGTGGTACCCTTCAGGTAGGCCATTTTTTTTCCCCCGGGTGGTGATTGATTGCATTATAAGTCAGCTTGAATTAGTCGAATTTATTATACTCTTATGCTAACTCAATATGAATTGCTGAATTTTTTGCTTCCTATTTTTATTTTCGTTAAAAATGGACAATATATTTTGAAATATTTTAATGCAGTTGATATTGTGATGCAGATATGGAGGATGATTGATCTGATTTATAGACCGGAAGAGGAGGTGTTGGCTGAGCTGGATAAGTACAGATCCCATATTATGGGATGTAACAACCCGTGACATGTCTGGAAATTCTCTAATGCAGTTTTAGGAAAATTCACTGGAGGCTGTCACACCATGTTTGTTTTGCAAAGAATTGGTTTTTTTTTTTGGAGGGGGGGGGGGACCCTCGTTAATTCCTCAAATTGTTTCTGGCTTCCGTACTCTTAGCAAATTATGATTTGTGAACATCTCATTCGGTAATAGTATTGAATCTTTGTCTAAATCTTTTTTCCCCTTTTGCCCCTTATTTGTGAAGAAAAGCGGTTGTTATTCGCTGGAATAATGCAGTTTATTCTGCTGTCTTGTTAATCATCACAAAGCTGATGTATTATGATATAAATCTGCCCTGTGCGAGGCGATATTTTTTTGGCCAACCATGCAAGGGAAGGGTATCCTCTAATCAAGTGCTCCACTGGCCGTATCAAATATTGCACGAGCACCCACATCTCTCTCTGCGCCAATGGGTAGATATGATAGTTCACTGATGCATCAACTACCAATATGTGTTGTGATGGATTTATATGCCTTCAATTGAACTCTTTCAACTGTGCTTCAAGGATGTTAGCTATTAGATTTTAACGGGCTCGAGGTATTTGGATTTTATATTCTTATGATTTTTTTTATATTTAATTTTTTTACGGAGACTTACACTCAAAAATAACCCCTCTTTTTTTCAAGCAGACTTTCATTTCTGCTTTTCTTCCCCTCTTTATGCATCATTTGTTTATTTAAGATAAAAAAAATTTGAACAAATTTTACATAGTTTATATATTTTATAAAAAAACTATTTATTTTCTAGATATGTTATAAAAACTTAAAATTATTTTATATTTGGTTATAAATATAATAATAAAAATGATGATTATTTAGTAACTTCTAAATTTTTTGATGTTTTCATTGATCCTTATTTATAAAAAATAATTTATTATTTAGCATTTAAAAATTTTATAATATTTTTATGTATATCTGTAATTTTATGATGTTCTTTTCTATCTATGGTATGATTATTTCAAAAGCTACTCAATTTAACTTCTCAGGATAATAAAAAATATATATAACTTCTCAAGCTAGCTATTGTATATTTTCTCTCTTCCCATTAAAAAATATAAAACATCTTTTTTAAGGTAAAATATTAAAAAAATGAGGCATTTTGAAATTTTTAAAATATAGTTAATGAGAATTTTCCAAAAAAATACCCTTAGTTAAGGGAGGGAGGTAATTAATGAGATTTTTTAATTGAGACATCCTATTAATTAAATAAAGATAAACATGCAAAGAGTTAGTAATTTTAAAAATAATTAATTAATTTGTTATTGGGTTAAAAATATTTTATACTTCCTTTATTCCATATTATAAAACAACAACAACAAGCCTTTATCCCACTAGGTGGGGTCGGCTACATGGATTAGAAGACGCCATTGTGCTCTATCATTTATCAAGCTTTTAAGAATATTATTAATTAAAAGATCGCGTTCAACAACTTTCAATAGTGTTCTCTTAGGTCTTCCTCTACCTCTCTTAATCGGACTCAAAGTTATATGTTCCACTCTTCTCACTGGTACCTCCTTTGGTCTTCTTTGTACATGCCCAAACCATCTCAACCGATTTTCTACCATTTTTTCCTCAATAGGTGCCCCCTCACTTTTTTGCGTACGTGCTCATTTCGAATTTTATCTTTACGTGTATGTCCGCACATCCATCGTAACATTCTCATCTCTGCTACTCCAACTTTATGCTCTTGCTGTCTCATTAGAGCCAAGCATTCACTACTATATAATATTGCTGGTCTGATAGCAGTGCGATAAAACTTTCCTTTAAGTTTATTATGCACTTTACGGTCACAAATAACTCTTTTAGCTTTTCTCCAATTAAACCACCCAACTTGAATTCTATGTGAAATATCTCCACTGATTTCGCCATCATTTTGAATAATGGCTTCCAAATATCTAAACTTTTCCACTTGAGGTATAATTTGATCTCTCAATTTCACTTCCAAATTATTGTCGAATAGTCCTTTACCAAATTTACAATATAAATATTTCGTCTTACTTCTACTCAGACAAAAATCTTTCGACTCTAATGTTCTCCTTCATAACTCAAGTTTACAATTAACCTCTTCTCTTGTCTCTGCTATAAGAACTATATCATCCGCGAAGAGTATACATTTCGGAATTTCCCCTTAAATATGTTCCGTCAAAATATTTAAGATCAAGTTGAACAAATAAGGACTTAAAGATGATCCCTGATGTAGTCCAATCTTTATAGGAAAATCCTTTGTTTGACCATTAGGCGTTCTTATACTAGTTTTTATCCCCTCATACATATCTTGTATGGCTTTAATATAAGCAATCCGTACTCTCTCTTTTTTCCAATGCTTTCCAAAGCACTTCTCTTGGTATACGGTCATAAGCTTTTTCAAATCAATAAAAATCATGTGTAGATCTTTATCTTTACAACGATACTTTTCCATTAATCCCCTTAGTAGATAAATCGCCTCTATAGTTGATCTACCTGGCATAAAACCAAACTGATTCTCAGAAATACTTGTCTCCAATATCAACCTGTACTCAATTACTTTCTCCCACAATTTCATTGTGTGGCTCATGAGTTTAATCCCTCTATAGTTAGTACAATTCTGAATATCTCCTTTATTTTTATAAATAGGAATTAATGTACTTCTCCTCCACTCATCAAGCATTTTCTTAGACCTTAAAATCATATTAAATAACTTAGTTAACCATCTCACCCCTTCTTCACCTAAACATTTCCACGCTTCGATAGATATACAATTAGGTCCGTTGGCTCTACCATTTGCCATTTTCTTCAGAGCTTCCTTTACCTTCTTATCACGTATTATTCGATAGAATGACAAATTTTGTTCTCCTTCACCAGTTACTAAATTCTCCAAATTACTAGATGAACCCTCTCCATCATTGAAAAGTTTAGAAAAGTAAGTCTCCCATCTATTTTTAATTTTATCATCTGTAACTAAAATTCTTTCCTCTTCATCTTTAATACATCTTACCTATTTTAGATCTCTTGATTTTCTTTCCCTACTCTTGACAATCTTATAAATATTTCGCTCTCCTTCCTTCGTCTCAAGGCTCTTATAAAATTCTTCAAAAGCTTTAGAACAAGCTTCACCCACAGCTCTCTTAGTTTCCTTCTTAGCCATACGGTATCTCTCCCAATTTTCCTCATTGTTACACAAATGTATGGCTTTAAAACAGTTCTTCTTATACTTGATTTTGTCCTGTACACTATTATTCCACCACCAAGACTCCTTATCTCTCCGACCAGAACCTTTTGATTCTCCCAAAACTACTTTTGCAACCTCCCTATCTTTTTAGCCATATCCTCCCATATGATGTTAGCACTTCCCTGAGATTCCCAAATTCCTTTATCCAAAAGATTTCGCTTGAAAATATCTTGTTTCTCACCTTTTAATTGCTACCACCTAATCCTTGGTGCTACTACTTGTCGACGTTTTTAGATTTTACTCATAATACACACATCAAGGACTAGGACCCTATGTTGTGTCGTTACAGCATCTCCGGGAATCACCTTGCAATTTTTACAAAGTCTTCTATCTGTGTTCCTAACCAAAAGAAAATCAATCTGTAACCTTGAGGCTCCACTTTTGCAAGTGATGAGATGCTCATCTCTCTTCTTGAAACAAGTGTTGGCAATCTTAAAATCATATGTCAATGAGAAATCAAGAAGAGTTTATCCTTCATTGTTTAGCTTTCCAAAACCAAAACCACCATACACCCTCGCATACTGACCAGCTTCCCTCCCGACATGCCCATTAAAGTCTCCTCTAATAAAAATCTTTTCACTCTGTGGTATGTGTCGAATCAACCCCTCCAGATCCTCCCAAAATAATTCCTTAAGACTGACTTCTGTCTCGACTTGTGGCGCATAAGCGCTAACAATATTAACAGTCTCACATCCAATTATCATTTTTAAGGAAATAATCCTGTCTCCAATTCTGCTAACTTCTACAATATTCTTCTTCCACTCCTTATCTATAATGATGCCTACTCCATTGTGTGCACTTACTTTTCTTGTATACCAAAGTTTGAAACTTTGAATATCCTTAGCTTCTTCTCCACGCCATTTTGTTTCTTGTAGGCAAAGGATATTGATTTTCTTTTGAATCATAACCCTTACAACCTCTATAGATTTATAATTTAATGTCTTAACATTTCAAGTGCCAAATCTAATTTTGCTCTCATAAACTAACTTCTTTAGCCGCGTGCGTCCAGAATGATGCGGTAGCCCTTGCTCATTTAACACTACATCGGGGCGCTGATGCAACGGCTTTAGCTCACTTATCACTATATTCAAGCCATGCAGCGCGTTACTTACGGGCACGCCCTAGCATTAACATTATAACGTCTATTGTCCATGTTCATGATAGATTCAACAAAATTTTACATTGGCTGTTGATGGCCTAACACAACCCTCCTCCTTTACCCAGACTTGGGACCGGCTATAAACATAGGCGGAATTCCATATTATAAAATAACATTAGTGAAATTTTATTATTCCAAAATATAATATAATTTGATCAGAATAAAATCTAATTAATAATATTTTTTCAACATTATTCTTTAAAGTGGGAAGATAATTAAAAAAATAAATTTATAAATTATTATTTAATTTTATTGATATAGAGATGCATAATCTTATTTTAAATTCAAGGGAGTGATATTCAGCTCAGCCAGCATTCACCATTGGCGATTTGCGTTTATGACAAACGGCGCGAACTCCCAAAGACACCATTCCCTTAATATTTGATATTTTCTTCTTCCTCAGTTGGATTTTATTTTTCCGTTTTCTTTGTCTCTGTCTTAACTCCAACAAACGCAGGTGCCTCAATTGATCTTCCTTACTCTGTATCAAGCAACCCATCTCGACATCAAAATTGTCTCTTTCCTTTCATTTCTTTACCGATCTGTCCTCCTACTTTTTTGGTGATTGAATCTTATTCTGTTTTTGCGACGGCGTGACTGAGGACGAGCGTTTCTCGAACTCCGGCGTGGTTATCAACTGAACTTTAGTCTAGCCCACTAATCTGTAGTCAAGCCCATTAATCCATCCGTAATCTTCATCGAGAACTACCTGGACGGCATATCTGTCTAGTTTGGTGTGCTAAGCGACAGAATGTGTGTGAAATTGACGATGAAAAAACCCTGACTCTGTTTCCTGTTATTTCATAACTCATGAGACCTGGACTTCATATTTTTCTTGTATTCTCTGATCTTTTTGTTTCAGTCCTTTGATTATTGAGTTTTCTGTTTTATTGTGAATATAGCCATATGATGTTTTATTATGAATATGATTTGATGCATAGCAAGGGTTTGTTTTATACATTTGATCGATTTAGGGCTTTTATCATGTTTTATGATTATGTGGATTATTATCTGTTTGAAATTGACATTATCCAATTTGGTTAGGCCCTATTAAGTTCCATTGCTGTATATATGTATAGAAATTGGCGAGCTACCGAATTGTAGTCAAGATAATTTGAGTATAATCCAGCTTTGGTATGCTAGAATTGTTGGGCTTTTGATAGAATTGAATGCCGAAAATGGTATTGTTATCTCATTTTGCTTTATATAAATTTAAATTTGTATCACGAAAGTTGGTTACCTATTAGTTTTGGTACAAGTCGATAGTTGGATCGGACGAAGGAAGAAGGGATAAGAAGAAGCAAGAGAGGGAGGGAGGGAGGGAGGGAGGGGGAGAGATAGCTGGAGGTTACAGTGGCAGCAGCAGTTGAAGTGGACATGGGTGGTGTTCATGGAGGTTGAAGAAGGAGGAGGATGTACGAGAGAGAGGGGGGGGAGAGATTTAGATTTTTAACAATTACTTAACTTTTTTTTTTGTTTAGGGGTCTATCATAGTCTTTATTTTTTCTTGCATACCAAGTGTGCTTTTGAAATTCATTTCCATTACTTTTCCTATTCTCATTCTCATTCCATTCTAATTCCTTCAAGGAGTCTTTTGTTTCGGGCAATTAGATTTTATATTTCCATTTTATTTTCCTTCTGGTGTTTCTTTTTGGCTCCAAGAAATAGTGGGCACCTTTCCTTTTTGATTATTTGCATCTTCCTTGTTATGTAATTAAAAATAGATGGGAGACTTATTTTTCTAAACTTTTCAATGATGGAGAGGATTCATCTAGTAACTTGGAGGATTTAGTAACTGGTGAAGGAGAACAAAATTTGTCATTCTATCGAAAAATACGTGATAAGGAGGTAAAGGAAGCTCTTAAGAAAATGGCAAATGGTAGAGCTAACGGACCTGATTGTATATCTATCGAAGCGTGGAAATGTTTAGGTGAAGAAGGGGTGAGATGGTTAACTAAGTTATTTAATGTGATTTTACGGTCCAAGAAAATGCCTGATGAGTGGAGGAGAAGTACATTAATTCCTATTTATAAAAATAAAGGAGATATTCAGAATTGTACTAACTATAGAGGGATTAAACTCATGAGCCACACAATGAAATTGTGGGAGAAAGTAATTGAGCACAGGTTGAGATTGGAGACAAGTATTTCTGAGAATCAATTTGGTTTTATGCCAGGTAGATCAACTACAGAGGCGATTTATCTACTAAGGGGATTAATGGAAAAGTATCGTTGTAAAAATAAAGATCTACACATGGTTTTTATTGATTTGGAAAAAGCTTATGACCGTATACCAAGAGAAGTGCTTTGGAAAGCGTTGGAAAAAAAAGGGAGTACGGATTGCTTATATTAAAGCCATACAAGATATGTATGAGGGGGTAAAAACTAGTATAAGAACGTCTAGTGGTCAAACAAAGGATTTTCCTATAAAGATTGGGCTACATCAGGGATCATCTCTGAGTCCTTATTTGTTCAACTTGATTTTAAATGTTTTGACGGAACATATTCAAGAGGAAATCCCGAAATGTATGCTCTTCGCGGATGATATAGTTCTTATAGCAGAGACAAGAGAAGAGGTTAATTGCAAACTTGAGTTATGGAGAGGACATTGGAGTCGAAAGGTTTTCGTCTGAGTAGAAGTAAGACGGAATATTTATATTGTAAATTTGATAAAGGACTATTCGAAAATAATTTGGAAGTGAAATTGGGAGATCAAATTATACCTCAAGTGGAAAAGTTTAGATATTTGGGAGCCATTATCCAAAATGATGGCGAAATCAGTGGAGATATTTCACATAGAATTCAAGCTGGGTGGTTTAATTGGAGAAAAGCTAAAGGAGTTATTTGTGACCGTAAGGTGCCTAATAAACTTAAAGGAAAGTTTTATCGTACTGCTATCAGACCGGCAATGTTATATAGTAGTGAATGCTGGGCTCTAACGGGACAGCAAGAGCATAAAGTTGGAGTAGCAGAGATGAGAATGTTACGATGGATGTGCGGACATACACGTAAAGATAAAATTCGAAATGAGAACATACGTGAAAAAGTGAGGGTGGCACCTATTGAGGAAAAAATGGTAGAAAATCGGTTGAGATGGTTTGGGCATGTACAAAGAAGACCAAGGGAGGCACCAGTGAGAAGAGTGGAACATATAACTTTGAGTCCGATTAAGAGAGGTAGAGGAAGGCCTAAGAGAACACTCTTGGAAGTTGTTGAACGTGATCTCTTAATTAATAATATTTCTAAAAGCTTAATAAATGATAGAGCACAATGGCGTCTTGCAATCCATGTAGCCGACCCCACCTAGTGGGATAAAGGCTTGTTGTTGTTGTTGTTGTTGTTTGCATCTTCCTTGTTATCTGTACAAAACAATGCGTCTCAAAATCAAATTCTTCTATTTTATTTCCCTTCCTAACCAACCCATCCTTGCAATATGTGTGTGTGTTACTTTTCTGTGATTGAATCCCTTCCTAATTCTTTGATAGAACACAATGGCATCATGTAATTTATGTAGTTGACTCTATCTAGTGGGATAAGGCTTCTTGTTGTTTTGTGATTGAATCTAATTCTGTCTTGTGATTTGGCCAGATCAAAGAATTAGTGCGGGATTTTTTGGGTGGGGGGCTGAGTTTTAAAATGTTGATTTTTGTTTGAGTATTCTTGTTTTGTTTGAATGAAATTCATGTTACGGTTTTTGTAGTTTCTAGGGTTTTGTAATGTGTGAATTTCTGGAATTTTTTTCAAGGTATTTGAAGGTAATTGAAGATGTTAGAGCAGTTACTCATATTTACAAGAGGAGGATTGATCCTCTGGACTTATAAAGAGCTTGGGAATGCTCTTAAAGGATCACCAATTGATACCTTGATCCGATCTTGTCTTTTGGAGGAACGATCTGGTGCTGCATCATATAATTATGATGCTCCAGGTGTAGCTTATACCCTCAAATGGACCTTCCATAATGAGCTTGGGCTTGTGTTTGTGGCTGTTTATCAAAGGATCCTTCATCTGTTGTACGTGGAAGATCTTCTAGCTATGGTGAAGCATGGGTTTTCAGGGATTTATGATTCAAAAAGGACAGTGTATCATGATTTTGATGAAACTTTCAGACAGTTAAAAATGGAAGCTGAGGCTCGGGCTGAGGATTTGAAGAAATCAAATCACATTGGCAGGGCTTTACTTAACAGCAAGAAGCAAGGTCTGGGACGGAAGAATGGGCCTGAAGGAGGAAATAACAAAAAGAGTGAAGGTGCTTTGAAAAGTGATAATGGAGATGGTGATAATAACAAAGGCCATAAGATGGAGAATGAGAACTCCAATGACCATATTGTTGCTAGTAAAGAATCTAACTTGGATAGCAGTACTAACGGTAAGGAGAATGCATGCTCTAATCTGGGAGCTTTTGATGTAAATAGGCTTCAGAAGCTTAGGGTGAAAGGAGGAAAGAAGACAGATACTGTTACCAAAGCCTCAAAGGTAGAGCCAAAGAAAAAAATGACGAAGAAAAATAGAGTGTGGGACGAATCACCTCCTGAAACAAAACTGGACTTCACTGATCACGTGGGTGAGAATGGGGAAAGTAACATAGATGTTGTGGCTGCTGATCAAGGTGAAAGTATGATGGACAAAGAAGAGATTCTTAGTAGTGAAAGTGAGGAAGAAGATGGTGACGTGGAGATGAACAGCAAACCTGATGCTAAAAAGAAGGGTTGGTTTTCATCCATGTCCCAGAGGTAAAATTGCTGGCCTTTTGGGTTATTAGATTTCTGTCAAGTTGTTTGAATGCCCTTGATGTTTAATTTATATTGCATTACTCCCATATCATCAAATTTGTCATAAACTAGGTGGCCCTCATGTATTGCATAGGATTTAAGGAATGAATTGCATTGTTAGTGATTTTTATATTTTATATTAATATTTATAGTGTGGAATTGATGTTCTTATGCTTCAAATCACTAAAATTGAAATATTGGTATTTTGTTATGCTTGTACAAATTGTAATGTTATTAGATGTTTGTAGATTTCACATGAAACTTACAAAATGGGTTTAGTTGGAGCAGAGATGAGAAAGAAATGAGAGATGAGTTGGAGTGATAATTATCCTCAGACTTGAAATTGCTCATACTAGCATGATTATTTGTGTATCATCTATATCTATCTATTTATAATATAAATTCTGCAGTGAGTTACAATATTCATAAGTCATAAACAATGCAGCTCGTCTCAAATTTCACGCAAAACATGGGCCTATAATCTAATTTTTTTTTAATAATCAAGGGGCCAATTTATTCAGATGAAAATTTCCTGGTGGTTTATATGCAAATAACTATGCACATAGATCAGTTTATAAATTTTTCTATTTGATTTTATATTTTTCTATACTTCTGTTTTAATATTACTATTCATGCACATTCTTGTGCTCAGTATTGCAGGAAAGGCTAACTTGGAGAAGTCAGACCTGGAACCAGCTTTGAAAGCTCTGAAGGATAGGCTCATGACCAAGAATGTGGTATGTGTTCATATTAATCAATTTTAATTCTTTTTCTTGTTTACATAACTTGTTATTTATCCAGTCCTTTGAATTTTGCCACTCAGCTAATATTGCTTGCAATATGTGGATATGCCCTCGTAGGCTGAGGAGATAGCTGAGAAACTATGTGAATCAGTGGCAGCAAGTCTTGAAGGCAAAAAGCTAGCTTCCTTTACAAGGATATCTTCAACAGTGCATGTTTGTTTCAGTCTTTTTTTTTTTTTTTGTTTTTTGTTTCTATCTGCACTAAAGGCCTCCTTTTATTTGTGTATGCCTTTTTGTTGTTTTTCTTGTTTTTCCTTAGGCCAGCATACTGATAGCATATTTCTAAAAATTCAATGTAGGCTGCAATGGAAGAAGCACTTGTTCGAATTTTGACTCCTAAGCGCTCTATTGACATACTAAGGGATGTGCATGCTGCCAAGGAGCAAAGGAAACCATATGTTGTTGTATTTGTTGGTGTTAATGGAGTAGGAAAATCCACTAATCTAGCCAAGGTGAAGACTTGATGTGTTTTTATTTCTTTCTTATTTTTCTTATGTGGGATATGCTTTCTGACTAGATTGAAATGGTCTATTTTCTGTATCGTTGTGCAGGTTGCTTACTGGCTTCTGCAGCATAACATTAGTGTTGTGATGGCTGCTTGTGACACATTTCGATCTGGTGCTGTTGAGCAGCTGCGGACTCATGCACGTAGACTTCAGGTTTATATTGATTAAACTCCTTAAAGATTAGTAGAATTCTGCTGCACATGTATTAATAGACCATGTCACAAGAAGTTACAGAAAGCTTACCCTGATTGTTTCCACTTTTTAGATCCCTATATTTGAGAAGGGCTATGAGAAAGATCCTGCCATTGTGGCTAAAGAAGCGATTCAGGAAGCTTCTTGCAATGGCTCAGATGTGGTTCTTGTTGATACTGCTGGTCGTATGCAGGTACACTGTTCTAGTTGAGCTCCATGAATTATATTGCATTATTGCATATTAAGTTATATGTGTACAAATGCAAATTGACTTGTTACCATTTTGCATGGTCTCAAGACTCAATTTATCTACTTCAGTTATATTAATTCCTGCAATGTGGAGGATCATTTATGGATGGGATTGTTTGACCTTTGAACCACTCTGGCTTTCCATTTGGAATATGTTTTATCATAAAGCTGCTATGTCATTATTGGTTTTCAGGATAACGAACCACTGATGAGAGCATTGTCAAAGCTTATATACTTGAACAATCCAGACTTGGTCTTATTTGTTGGAGAAGCTTTGGTTGGAAATGACGCAGTTGATCAGCTTTCAAAGTTCAATCAGGTTAAGTCTATGTACTTTCATGTTGTCCAACTTCATTCCCATTGTGCTTGTTTTTCCTATATTAAAGTCATGGAACCGGAGCTATTTTGCTGCAGAAATTAGCTGACCTCTCAACAGCCGCTAATCCCAGATTAATTGATGGGATTTTGCTCACTAAGTTTGACACCATTGATGACAAGGTATTGACTCTTGAAACTGCAAGCGGATGAATGAAGGGTTTTTCCGGGTATATTGATGTTGATGATGATGGTGAATGTTATTTGGATCCATTTGGCAGGTGGGAGCTGCACTTTCAATGGTTTACATATCAGGAGCTCCCGTGATGTTTGTTGGCTGCGGACAGTCCTACACCGACCTCAAGAAACTCAATGTTAAATCAATAGTGAAAACTCTCCTCAAATGATGATGCGGGTTTGGATTTTGTTTGGAATAATGTTCATCGGTCATGAATGTTTCTGTATTTGTTCCTCTACTCATATTTGTCCCCCGTCCGTCCCCCACTTATGGGCAAATTGGGGCTGTGACCTGGAGGCTATCTGGTTTGTTTATTTAAATTATTGTAAAAGTCTCTCTCTCTCCTCTCTCTCTCTCTCTCTCTCTCTCTCTCTCTCTCAATGTTTTAGTGCGAGATAGAAATCGATAGTGTCGGGCAAGCTTGATCTGAAAGGAATTGGTAACTGAGGTTTATAGAGAACGTATGGTTTATAAGCTGTTAGCAGTGCGACACAAGTCCTACTCTTAATTGATGCAAATGCTCGTTAGTGTTACGTTATTATTTCTTAAATGTTCATCTGAAATTAAATATGAATTACAGAACACACGAGTTCCCATTTACAAGTAAGAAAGAGTAAGACTCTGTAAATGTGGACTTTAACGTTCAATACGCAGTCGTCGTCTGGCTTATATTCTCCAGTGAAACTGTAACTCTCATTTGGTAATTCTGAATCTTGGTTTAAAAGCCCTTTTTTGGGGGAAAAGGTCGTGAAGAAGAAGCGGATGTTATTGGTTGGAAAAATGCAGTTCATTATGCCATTTTGTTAATTTATTATGCAAGCATACATGGTCCTAATCTGCCCTAATGGGCTTGCACCTAATGCTGAGAACCTATGTATACCCAAATTTGACAAGGAAAATTAAGAACTTGTCCCCATGATCAAGTATAACGCAGCATCTAAATCAATGGAAAAAAAAAAAAAATCAGCAGTGATTAAATTCTTGGTACAAAGTATGTTTTGCAAAGAGGTGTCCTCAATTACCAACCAGATTAGTTTGGGTTAAAGATTTGGGATACCAAAATTCACACAAAAAATAATAATAAAATTAAAAAGTAAATGAAAAAAAATTCCAATAATTTTCGAGGTTAATACTTGATGCAGTTGTTTTGTAGTCTGCTAGTAAGGTTTTACACTGTAACAGTGTAACATCATTAGTATTTTCATGTGTTTAAACTTTTTTTTAAAACAAAAGAAGAGTTAAGCCCTTATTTTTTCCTAATGATTTTTTTTTTTTCAAAATCAATAGCATGTTTTCTAATTAATTGGTTGGTGTTACAAATTTAAATTTGAACAAATGAACATTTAAATGTATTCTACTTTTTAACAACATAAAAAAATCATATACAGATAAAATTGAAATTAAAATTGATATGTAAAAATTACATATGCATAAAAAATGAGAGAAAAACATAAAATGAAATTAATAGAGATGAACACATTAGAATATCAAATAAATAATTATAGATAATATTAGTGAAACTCTGCGACGCAAAATGTATAATTATGTCATATAATTTCCAAAATAACTTTTTGTGATTTATTATATATATATATATATATATATATATTCTTTGGGGCGTGAACTTGATAAAACTTTTGTAATTTTAGTGTTCGTGTTTTATAAGCAACACATGACTTGCTCCTTCTTTAAGCTTCGTGACTGACTGTCTCGTTTATCCATTCACCCTACAACTCGGAAGATCATGGCTGCGATCTCCGTCCGCACGAGCACCTCCGTCTTCCTAGCTCTCCTTCTCATCTCCTCCGTCCACTCCTTCTACCTTCCCGGCGTCGCTCCTCGCGATTTCCAAAGTGTATGCTCTAATCCTCTCTTTCTCTCTTCCACCTCTTGATTCATGCTTCACTTTCTGTTTCTTCGTCCAAGTTGTAGTCTTTTTACTTGTGGGTTATTTGTAAACCGTCTTCAAATGGTTGGATCTAGGGTTTTAGGTCTGATCTAAGACGTGCTCCTGGCGGTTATCATTCTCATTGTGAAATGGGGGAAGTGAATTTCTTTCGTTTTGTATTCTCCGTTTGTACTACCATTCTTGGGTTTCTCGAATTCATGGTTATCGGGGATGATTTGGTTGTTCTGATGTGATTTGAAAGAAAAGAAAACGGAGTTTTTTCCCGTAGGATATTGTTCTAGAATCTGTTTGTGAAAATGCTAAGAAAAGTGGAATTGCGTGACATCTTTCCTCAGGTTTGAAATCTGGTTAACTTTTTCAGCATGGGTTTACCTTTTGTGGTTCTATGTCATTTGTTACAAATGCTGCCGCCGGCTTATTTTTTAATTTGATGCATTTGAAACAGAACACTGGAGTTTAGTTCAATGGGCAGATTGTTATGGGGTTGTGACCTGAATAGCATTTAGTATGGCTTCAGCTGTCCGTTTAATTGTGCCTTGTTCTTAAAGAAAAAAAATTTGTCATTTGCAAATATTGAACAATTTATTTCGATTTTTTTTTCATTTGATTTGTAGTTATACTTTATCTACTAGAGAATACTAATTTTTTGTTTGCACGATCGGACCAGGGTGAAACCTTGTCAGTCAAAGTGAACAAATTATCATCTACAAAAACTCAGCTTCCATATGACTACTACTACTTAAAGTATTGTAAACCCCGCAAGATTTTAAACAGTGCAGAAAATTTGGGTGAAGTTCTTCGAGGTGATCGAATTGAGAATTCAATATATACGGTGGGCATCTATATTACCTAGTCCTTTTAAAATTTTACAGGGACAATGACGCCTTGAGTTTTAGTTACTATTGCTTCTTCTTTGGTGATGTAAAACTGAAGTATGAATTCTTTTTTTCCCCAGTTTGAAATGAGAAAGGAGCAGTCTTGTACTGTAGCATGTCGTGTAAAGTTGGATGCTGAATCTGCAAAAAATTTTAAAGAAAAAATTGATGATGAATATCGTGTACACATGTAAGTGGTGAATGAATGGAAGCTCTTCTTTTTCTTTCTTTTTATTTGAATTATCCTTGCCAATTGCATGGTTGTCTACATGTTCCTGCTGTTTAGTCCCTGGATGATGCAAAGTTACTTTATGAGGCAATGTGGACTGTGCTGTCTATTTTCATGGTTTGGTTGATCCACTTTAAAGGGACATGCAGGATTTTGGATAATCTTCCCGTTGCTGTTCGTAGACAAAGGAGGGATGGAAGTCAATCGACAACATATGAACATGGTTTTCGTGTAGGGTTCAAAGGAAACTATCAAGGGGTATGACGTGTAATGAATTCATGTTATACAAATATCTCGTACTTTAATTAAAAATCTTACGGAGTTAATTTTACAACAGAGCAAGGAGGAGAAATATTTCATCAATAACCACTTGAGTTTCAGAGTCATGTACCACAAGGATCAAGACAGTGATTCTGCTCGTATTGTTGGGTTTGAGGTTACACCTAACAGGTGCTGTTCTTTACCCTCTAGGGTAGTTTTGTATTCATTGTCCTGGCATAAAATGGTTGAACTATTGTTTATAATTATAATGATAAAGATTGTTGAAGCATCTCACCCTCATTTTATGAGTATGAAAGTTGTTTCAGAGAAAGCACAATTAAATGGCATAAGTCTAATAATCTTACTTTCCAAGAGATGCTGATTTTGTGTAAAGATAAGATATTGTCATAGACATCTTAAAAATGGGCTTTTTGCATACTCCCATCCTCATTACTGTTGAGTGTCATAATTTTATGCATTGTGTTCTTGTTAACAGTGCTCTCAAGCATGTTTCCTTAGGTCCAGTTAGATCTTCCTTAAATTGATGTTGTCTTTGGCTGCTGCCTTGATGAATGTCAAATAATTACTAGACATGTTTTCTCTCTTCCTCATACGAGCCCTTTAATTGTAATCAGCATTAATCATGAATACAAGGAGTGGGATGAGAAGAATCCACAGGTTGCTACATGCAATAAAGACACCAAGAATTTGATGCAAGGCAGCACTGTTCCACAAGAAGTTGATGCCAACAAGGAAATTGTATTTACATATGATGTTTCCTTCAAGGTATCATTGATCAAGTTCTTGGTCACTCTTATCCTCTTCGACCTCAGTCTTTGATCTGATATTGTAAGCAATGTTTGTTGGCATTTTTGTTAGGAAAGTGAAATCAAATGGGCATCACGATGGGACACATACCTTCTAATGAATGATGATCAGATCCACTGGTTCTCCATCATTAACTCTCTGATGATTGTTCTTTTCCTTTCTGGAATGGTGGCAATGATCATGATGAGGACACTTTACCGAGATATTGCCAATTATAACCAGCTAGATACCCAAGATGAGGCCCAGGAAGAAACAGGATGGAAACTTCTCCATGGAGATGTGTTCAGGCCACCAGTCAATTCAAATTTGCTCTGTGTTTATGTTGGCACTGGTGTTCAGATATTCGGAATGACACTTGTGACTATGATATTTGCATTGCTAGGATTCTTGTCTCCTTCTAACCGAGGGGGTCTCATGACTGCCATGGTTCTATTGTGGGTTTTTATGGGTTTGTTTGCTGGCTACTCCTCAGCACGTTTGTACAAAATGTTCAAGGGCACAGAGTGGAAGCGGAATACCTTAAAAACTGCATTCATGTTTCCAGGCATTCTTTTTGCAGTCTTCTTCGTGCTGAATGCTTTAATTTGGGGAGAGCAATCCTCTGGAGCCGTGCCTTTTGGAACAATGTTTGCTCTTGTCTGCTTATGGTTTGGAATATCAGTGCCCTTGGTCTTTGTGGGTAGTTACTTGGGTTTTAAAAAACCAGCTCTTGAAGACCCCGTGAAGACCAATAAAATTCCTAGGCAAGTACCTGAGCTGGCATGGTATATGAAACCCGCCTTCTCTATTCTTATTGGAGGAATTCTACCATTTGGTGCTGTGTTTATTGAGCTTTTCTTCATTCTGACATCAATATGGTTGAACCAGTTCTATTACATTTTTGGCTTCCTTTTCATAGTGTTTGTTATCCTGCTGCTCACTTGTGCTGAGATTACCATCGTGCTCTGCTACTTCCAACTGTGCAGTGAAGACTACAATTGGTGGTGGAGATCTTACCTCACTTCTGGGTCCTCTGCTCTCTACCTTTTCCTCTACTCCAGTTTTTACTTCTTTACCAAACTGGAGATTACCAAGCTGGTCTCAGGCATCCTTTACTTTGGGTATATGATAATTGTTTCATATGCCTTCTTTGTCTTGACGGGGACTATTGGCTTCTATGCGTGTTTCTGGTTTGTTCGCAAGATCTACTCATCAGTGAAGATTGACTGATTTAGATGCAAATAGTGGACAACCGCAAGATGAAAATGAAAATCTGAGAAGCTCTATGAGTGAGGACTGGGAACAGATTTTCTTGCCCTCTCTTGAGAACCCCTTTTTGGTGATGTTGGACAGTTAGGGTTGAAGAATCTGCACTCTGCTAATTTGTTACACATTTCACATATCTTTGTACCATTCTGAAGTATTGAGATGTCTGCATATCTTTTATATGTCTGTAACAATGTAATGACAGTATCCATGCGTTTTATGTTTACCTGACTCTGCGAAAAAATGCAAAATGAGAGGAAAAGTATACATGATCTTTGGTTCCATGTCACTGCTAAATGCTTGTTTTGACCTGTCTTGTCATGCCAAGATGCCATTCATCTATAGAAAGTGCCCTCTCCAATCTCAATTCGATATTTTTAATTGAATCGTATAAATTGAAAAAAGTCATTAGAATTAGTTAAGAGTATTGATTGCGTTAATCATTATTATAACATTTTCAAAGAATTAAAATTTGTTTGCTTGTATCCTGGTCTTTTGGTCTTCCAGTATAATTTCAGTTTCAAGGAAAAACGTTGTAGCAATTTTCCCTAATTTTTACTTGTGAATCTATAAGTCATTTATGGCATCCGAAAAAATTAGTTAGATGTGGCCATTTTTTAAAAAAATAATAAATAGTATTTGGCTAAAATTTGAGATATCTTGTATTAAAGGCTAAATAAACTTTTTTTAAAAAAAATGTCTTTGTTTTTGGAGTGAACCAAAAAAAAAGTCTTGTATTAAACATTGGAGGAGTACATCTTTTGGGAGTAATGATTCGTCACATAACACAAAACCAACCACTTAAAGAAATAGCTCGATTGCCAGGGGGTTTAGGCAGTAGAAAGAGCTACCTCCTCATAATGTGAAACCAAAGTTTAAATTTTGTTTGAGAGGTGCTTATATTTAATATTTATGAGTGGAGGTATGTATATTTAATACCCAACCATTTTTTCAATAGAAAAATACTTATGAGTTAGGTTGAAAATAGGCTATGTCAAGTTACACTTTGATTAAATAAGTTTAGTCTGTATGGTAGGTCGGAGACTTGAACATAATTTGAAGCTTGTATAAGATTTTTTTTACGGCTCAACTAAATTTACTTAAAGTCTGTCATAACTCGAAAGCCTATTTAAAAGTCTACTTGAAAATATTTTTAATCTTTATAATTATTTTTTAAAATATAAGGATCAATATTTAAGATATTAAAACTTCAAAAACTAAATTATAATAGACAAAGTTTAGGAATTAATTTATAATCGAGTCAAAATTTTAAGTATTAAATTATAACAAGTCAAAATTGAGAAATTAAGTTGCAACTAAATTAAAACTACAATGACCAAATAATTAATTTTATTTAGTTTTAAATATATTAAATATGCTCTAAGATTATTAATGTTTATATAACTTGATCTAATGTATAATAATTAAAAAAACTTACCAACCATAACACAATATAACAACAAAGTAACAATATTAAAATTAATATATAAGTTTAATTTGATTAAAAACATAACTAAAAATAAATAACATACTGATTAAAAATTAAATGATGAAACTAATGCGACATATGTGTGTGTAAATAAAACGACCTCATCTATTTTATCAAATAAGCTCAATCAAAAACCTAAACCTAGTTAATAAATAAAGTGGCTAAGTCTAAAATAAACGATGCTAAAGATCTTAATAAAAGCCTAGCTTATTTCCAACCATACTAGTCATCAGCAATTGAAAAAACTCAGATTATTAAAAGAATTATGCTCCCACAAACACGCACAGCACGCGCGCGTTATGTACTGAAGAAGCTCTACCAAGATTTAACAACTCTGAGCAGTGGACGTTACGACTGTTTAGGGACAGGACGTCGGAACAGCCTCTTGCTAAAGGCAATTCCCCCACCCTTTTTTCCCCCTGGATTGCACCTGAAGCTTCAAAAGTTTTGCTGCTGCTACATATTTTCAAGATTTCTTCTTTTATTACTTTTGAGACGAGAGATAATTTTCATCCACTAAATTTTTCTATTTCATTTCATTCCATTATATAGTCTACGTGCCAAACGGAAGTTCAAAGATTTTGTTTCATCTATTCCACAGAAAAGAACCAAAATGAACACTTCTGTGATGGACGGTACAAGATTACAGACGTGGGATTTAAGATCTACATGTTAAACTAACAACAGTTACAGTTAGCCAGCAAAACACTCGTCACTCATTAGCTTGAGCACTGCCTAGATTTTGCAGCTTTTTGCCTGCACAAGTATAGAAAGAGTAATGATAGTTAGCAACTACCATTAAGGATAGAAATAGAACGGAGACACAAACGTTCCAAAGTATAAAAGTCGACCTTGGAAAATATCGAAATAGGAAATGCAACTGACCAAAATGAATCCTTTTTTTCTTGTGCTAATAATTCTTCAAACGAAATGTCAGAAAACTCATTGTCTTCGTTCTCCTCAAGCTCACAGGATTTTGCCTTCTCCATGCAAGCTCCAACTTCAAGCATCTGTAAGGGCAGAGGATTGCACAATCAGCATTGTTTGCAGCAATGTTTAAAAGAACATTTTCAGAGAGGATTTTTTTTTCCCATCTCCTTTAAAAAAGAGGGGCGGGGGTCTAATAAGCCACAACAGATGAATAGAAAAGTAGGAGACTACAGGGCTATACCTTCTTGTAAGCTGGCGAGAGTTTAAGCTGTTCTTGAAGCCAGTTGTAAACAAAAGCATCCTCCTCTAATCGCTTTTGTTCTAGTTCCAGCTTGTATATCTGAAATATTAGAAACATGGTTACTCGATGGAAGTGACTGCATGCTTGAGATGTAAACTTTTTCTTTTGGGATATCTTGCAAACTAACAAACCTGTTGACGAAGGCGGTCAAAAGAAGACCTGTCTGCCTTAAATAATAGCGCCTTCGTGATAACAAACTTGCGTTGGATTGTATCAGCTCTAACATGGCAAGATAAAAAAGTAATCAGAATAACAGGGGAAATTAAAATATTTCTAATTTGACAAGAATTGGAAGTCACTCATAAACTAAGAGCTTAAATTTGAATTGTGGACGTGAAAGAACATGATGCCATACAATACAAGTCAGATGCTTCAAATGATAAGAGAAAGTCACAAACACCAGAAAGTCAATTATACTAAAATTTAACCTATCATAAAGATTGGAATACATGTATAATCACAATCAGATTACTGACTTCCCTATGGTTGCAAATGTGCCACCTAGGAAGGACGCTATGATAATATCTTGAATTATTTTTCAAGTACAAAGGAAATACACAAATTCTATCAAAGTAGCATTTTTAGAATAAGTAGACGTACTTGTGCTGTAGCTCATTCCTAGCATCAACCAAACTATTAGCAAACTGTACCACCTGCATCACAAACGAGCAGGTTATTTAACTCATAAGGTGATAAAACTGATCCCAGCATCGCATTATGAAATAATCTATACTTGGAAAATAGCATGTAACATGAAGAGGAAAATCTTTCATCTTCTAAAGACAACATGCTTAACTGCTGAATTTGCTAGAACCGATGAATGTCTGACCAGATAACAGTTCATATTTTGATAGATCTTGGCATTTTCATTTGAAAGACTTGAAAATGAATCTTGAGCCCTCAATTACCCCATTAATTAACAATGTACCAAAGTTAACTTAGGAAATGATCCTGATTCATTTCAAAGCAATACAGAAACTTCTGACGTGCCTCGAACACATGGCACGTTCTGCCACTCTGGCTATACTTATCATCTCAATAATGTTTGGAGGCTAGATTTTGGGAAGGACGCAATTGGTGACAAAGAATACTTGGTGCCATTAATTTTTTGGAAGTAGGATGGCTGTTCCATATCCTAAAACAGGTCATAGCCTAGTTTGTTTTTCTGGATTTCTCAAAACATGCAAAATATCTTGTTTTCCTTGCATAATCTTACATACAAGAGTATATTTATAGCAGAACAGCCCTGTCTGCCAATCTATGTGGCATTTGATGAATTGACAATACTCCCTATAATATAGAGTTAGGTAATGTTACCAAATATTGATCAATTTACATTTTATTTCTATGCATATTTGCATCGTATTAATAGCATACCTCCGAAAATCATGACCATGTACTCCCTAAACCTACTCATCCAAATTCCCAAACTACTTCTGCAAAATTTCAAACAGGTGATAGGTCACCCCACCCACATCACCCAATACGAAGTTCATAATCCTATATTATAGAAGCCAAAAAAATGTTGCCCAATTGACCTAACCAAATAAGCCAAGTTGATTTTAGGACAATTGTCATTGAATTGCTTCACTTTTGGAATTAGTCCAATTGCAAAATAACAGTTGGACCACCAAAATAAAAAATATCTTGTGATTCACTTCAGATAATAGTAAAACCTACAAGGCAATTCATCTTCGCATTGCAGATATACAAACAAAAAGTTGTAAAAACATTATCACAAGGTTTCTGAGCTGCATAATTTCATCTAACAACAAACTAACTCCTTCCAAAATGAGAAACGGATTTCTAGATATGATAAGATATTTATTCTTAATTCAAAAACAACAGCTTTGAATATATATATATAATAAAGTACGATGAACAATACTACAGTGACTCGAACTGGGTATAACCTGAGGTAATGTCAATTTCTTGGACTCGTGGCATTTGACAAGCTCATCATACTGTTGTTTGATCTTCCTCTGCATAGGGCTACTAGAAGAGGTGAACGGGTACAGGCAAACGGATTCCGACCGAACCCCGGAATCCGAACCCGAATTCGCTCGCAACCCATCGCCTCCATCTTCAGCCATTGAATTCACTTTCTTCTTCTTCGCCTTCCTCTTCTTCTTCTTCCCGGTTTGGCTCTCATCCGTTAAGTCTCGATTCGGGTCATCGTAACCTTTATCGTCGAGCACACTGGTCCATTTCGTAGAATCGGAGGGCAAGACCTCGAGTAAGAGCGAATGGGTCGGGTTGATTTCGTCGGGTTGCCGAACTCTGTCCACAGCCTCCAACGCAGAATGCTTCCCACTCGACGCCGGCTCGCAGTTCGTATCCGAATTCTGGGCCGTCCCCTTTGGTTCCGTTCTCAACAGCTTCTTATAAACAGAGAAAGCAGCGAAGATGAAAGAGAGAAGGGAAGCGGAGAAGATGAGGAGGACAAAACAGAAAGAGGAATCGTGCATTTGGGGATGATGACACGGAGGAATGATTGACGGTTTAGAATGAAAGAAAGGGAAGATATGTGAGGAAGGTGAAGAAGCGGCCATGGAAGACGGAGAAGAAGAAGAAGAAGCGTGTCATTGAGAGGGAGGGAACAAGGAAAGTAGAATTGTGAAAGCAAAGTAATGGAAAATTCTGCAGCGAGTTTAGCCGCTTTCAAGGTTCAATTTTGATCTGTTTCCTACGGTTCGGGGTTAAAGTGGTGACGGTGGGCCATTTGCCACATCTCTGAGATTAGGAACGGCAACTTTTTTTTAATATGGTTTTTTATTGTTTAACAGAAATCAATCATTTTTCTGGAAAAAAAAAAATATCTTGCAGATTTGAAGAGTGAATTCAGCTAAAAAGAAAAAGAAAAAAATGAATTGAACAGTTGAGTTGAATGGAGGATGTTTCACCATCTTCTTTGGATTACATTTGGCTGTACTTTCATGTGAACCTGTACTTGTTTTGTTTTTTTAATGGTGAGCACACATGAGAATGGAGAATCACAGTTTTGTGTGAAGCCATGATCCAATCAAAATTAGCTTCCAACAAGATTTTCTAAAAAATTTATAAATAGTTATAAATAAAAATGTTCGTTGCAAATCAAAAACCACATCTAAAACTTAAATGTCTTGTATACTCTTAGAGTTTGTAATTGTCAATATCATCAAATAATTTTTGGGACATAGCTTTCTTTCTCCTAAAATGAGAATGAATAATATGATTGAATTCCAGGTCAAAAAATAATATGATTGAATATATTCTATTTTCTAACATTTCATTGCAAAATGATATCTTTTTTTTCTTATTAAATTTAAAATAATTATCATACTGGTTATATACATAGAATTATGTAAAATTAATTTTGATAAATAAAAGTCAAATAATTTGTAATCTTCTGTGTTAATTTATTTGATATGTTAGACTAAGTCAAAAATCACCTTGAGCTAGTCTCAAATTATGCGAATGTGATCTTGAAACTTTTTAACCGACATGATAATTATTTTTCATTCAATTAATGGATCAATGAAAATCATTCTCGAAATGAGATATAAAATGTGAGTTCATGAATTTGTCCAAATGTAAAATGGATTGTATTTATTCATGGTTATTTGTATGTATTCAATCCCAAATCTGCCTGGTTGAATCGGTAAATTATTAAACTAATATTTTAATAAATTCAATAAATTAGTTTATTCATGGTCAATCTAAAATACTTTGTTCATAATCTAAGACAGATCATTAACTTTTAAATTAATATCTCAATTGATTTGATGACAGTTCGATTTTCAATGTCTTGATTTAATGTGCAACAAATTTACATTAGATTACAAGTAATAGAATAATGTAGTAAAAAATTGAGATTTTTAAATCCAATTTGGTTGGGACTAAATTATGTATGTATTGAAATTTTTATTTAAATAAATTATAAGTAGAATTTTTTTTTAACTTTGTATCTTTCTTTTAAATTTAAAAATTAAAATCATTAAAAATATTATACATGAAATCTAGGTTGTGTGGATTCCCATATCTAGCATCTACTGATGGAACAAGAAAACAATGGTTGAGGCAGAAAAGGACCCAAACTACTTGTGTATGAGAGTGTTCCATTCACACTAGAAAATCACAATATCATAGCATTGACGTCTCTGAATCATTAATTTTGTTATTAAGTAAAATCAGTAGTTCAGTACTATATCCTGATTAGCAGGCAAATAGCTGATAGTGATATCATTTCCTTAGCCTCAGTTGACCTTCAACCTAACACCTATTCTTAAATTAATATCTCTGCTGATTCATTAATCATTATGTATGCATATATGCACGCGCAAAATTTGTATACACTTCTCATTGACCTTGATATCACTGATATAGCAGGTTGCCCAATTCTCAAGTCAAGAGTTCACTTTAGATTGCTTTCTTTTTACATTAAAACAAAAGTTAATAAAAGTACGGTAAAAGAAAGGCTAAAACATTACAACATAATCAAAGAAAGAGACTAAATATAAAGTAGAAGAAATCCTCCTGAACAATTTGAAAAGATGATGTTGGAATTTATGGAGCAAATGATTAATGTGCAGGATGATAGTGTCAAATTTGAGGCTTGCGAATGCTACTGGATAGAACATGTTGTGCACAAAAAAGAATTGATACACCAAAGAAAAGACCTTAAACAGATGAAAAGAAACTTGGATGAGTCTTGAAACTCGTTTTCTCGCCAACTTGTGGCTGATGAATTGGGAGTTGAAGCTGATTGCAATTAAGCAAGAAGAGTTTCGAGTGCTCTTTTTTGCTCATCATTATAAACATACACGCCATTGTCATGGCTTTTTTATATTAATTTTATTTTGAAGTATTAATTACTTCATGGATTCTTCTTTATAAAAGTGGTGTGTCAATTAACAAAAAGTAATAATTCAATTCAACAACCACATCAAGATGAAGTACCTTATCTTTTTACCTTGGGAAGTTTCATACAAGAAAGAAGAAGCAACTAGATTGCTTTCAGAAAATTACAAAAGGGAATTAAAAAGATTACAGGAAGCAAGAGGCTTCACTTCAACACCGAAACAAAGAATGGAAAACATTTACACATGGACTCAATTACTATCGTCTCAATGTGCATCTACCAGCAACAGATTCTTCACTTCACTTCTTAGCCTTTTGAAGTAGGCAGAGAATAGAATATTAATACTTTATTTACACAAATCCACAATCATCTTATCAGCAATCTCCCTAGAGGCTTTTCAACTAAGGTGTGTTGTGTTTCTTCTGCAACTTCACCTTGGTAAAGCTAAGTTAATCAATGCTTGTGGATCGTCTTGTAGTGTGGTAGTAGGCTTAGTTTATCCCCAAAAGATCCGTGAATTCTCAAAAAAATAATAGTAATGATCAATCTAGAATCTTCATTCCCTTTTTTGTTTTTCTGGGAATAATCAGCATCATCAGGTGCAAATGGCCTCCACTGAGAGTTTCTTCATGACATTTGGACATGGATCTCCTCCAAAATTTTCAGGCGACACAGTTACTTTGCATGAGTTCTGGCCAACACACTTCTGCAAACAGCAAACTCAATGATGAATAGTGAAACAAGTAGGAATTTAAAGGAAAAAAAAAGGCTTAGAGGGACAGCGAGCTAAAAGGATCACATGGCCTTTAGAATCATAGATTTTGCCAATATGCTCTCTTTGTGGTCTTCGCAAGTTTGGCTAAGACAAGAAACTGATAGCAGAATCTATTGTTTCTATTTGTTTGCTCTGACAGACGCAGGAAATGGGAGCTTCAAAACAAGATTTGACAATAAAAAGTGTTTTCTTGAAAGACTGGCCGCGGACTGATAGCAGTTATAAAAGTACTTATCGGATGATACGGTTAAGCACCAAAAATTTCTTTGTAAATTACTTGTTGAAAAACTGATTCTTACATGAAAAGAAATTTAAGTAGAAATTGAAACCATGGCCAAAAAGACACTAAAAGACAGGGCGAAGAAGAATTAATACCTTTTGAAAGGCATCGTATGACTTGTGCGCATGGCAGCTTCCTTCGTGGAAGTTTCCACAGGAGCCCATAGGAGTACCAAAGCTAGCAAATTTGATGGAAGAGATTTTCTGGCCAGGGCCACACGACAAATGAGCTTTTGGTCTCATTGGTCTGCTAGATTTACCAGAAGCTTGCATCTGATAGCTTATGAGATTTGGCTGCCACTCATAAATATCAGCACATGCTCTATCTATATCCCTTCTAACCAAAAAGATCCCATTGGGGTCTCCACCCATCTCTTCAAACACAACTAGTAAGTTTCCAGTTGGCTTCAGCCATGATTGAGGAACATGATACCTGAAATCATTACTCATTAGTTAAGTTTGCTGACAGTTCCTCATGAGCATTTCCTTTTTCTGTAATTTATTCATTCTGCCTTTAAGTTTCTCCGAAGTTTTACTCATGGCTGAGATTAAGAGATTTTTGAAACTGTAGGGACTAAGGTACAAACTTTTGAACCTTAAGAACCGACACAATAAGTTTAACTTCAGTGAAAGTTTGTTTCTCACCATCTTTGAGAAGCCTCGCCACAGTTGCTTCTGCATTTCTTCTCATCATAAGTTCCAGCATAATCACAGTCACCACAAGTTCCAGAGGCTTTATAAGCAGGCCAGTAGCGACCGAGGCTCTGTCCATTTATCCAAACTTGACCTTTGCCCATGCTGCCCATGTCTAAAGCCAATGGTGCAACTCCACGTGGGGCATCAAAAGTTGTCTGTAATGATATTAAAAGGACATGAAGTTATATCATTAACTATTAGTACTATTAATGGTTACTAGTGATAGTAATTAAAGAGCGAATGCCACGAAGTTAAGAACAGGTTAATAAAATCAAGTTTTTTAAGCAAAACCAAAGCTTGAGTCTTTGTGATCCTCACTTTGTACCAAGTTAATGGCTGTCTTCTTGAAACCCAATATCCCTGAGTCCACTCAATTGAGGAACTTCCACTGAGAGAATGAAGACTCAAGTCTTCACCTTTAAGACCAATCTGAAAGAAGCAAAACCTCCAATGAATCTTAAGAAAAATCCAGCAACAAGAGACAGAGAGCATACAAACATCTCTAAAAGAACCTTGTAAGACCATTTCTGCCATGATAAGTCCCTTTTCCCCTCATTGAGACCGTCTAACGAAATTGGGCCAAGAACACCAGCATTCCATCTTTCAAAATGAGGACCAACATTCTGTATGCCAATAAAAATCTCATTTAGTCGAGTTCACAACCCAGCTATATTACTGGAAAATCAAAGTAGTGTGGCCATATATTCTTCAATGCATGGTATATTATATATATATATATATATATATAGAGAGAGAGAGAGAGAGAGACCGGCAGTCCAACTGCAACACTTAGAAGGGAGATTTTGTTAACACCAGCTCTTAGTTTCACGCTCTGACTAAACGTGAGCTTTGGGAATTCTAAACTTCCGTATGCCGTTCCTGACCATAAGAATAAGTTTAATATGGTCAACAAAACAATTATAAGCTCAGAATATAAAAAAGTGTGGCAGAGAAGTTGCTAAAAGCAAGGTAGGGAAGAACAGCTAAATCAAGGGCTTTTCATCAAGCTTGTAAAAAATATTTAACTTGATAACATACTGAACAATCAATGCTATGCAAGTTCTAATTCTATGAATTACCCAAAAGCATACATCAAGTGCTTTTAGTCGCACAAAAAAAAAAAAAAAAACTTGGATCTTACCGAGAAAAGTACATATTGGAATAATTTTTAAATCCTTGATATTGTTCACAAAAAATGGACAAGTGTTGTTAGCTTGTAGATAAAAATTATGATGCTCACCTGCCAGCTGACCATTGACAAAAGCATGCAAAGCATGTCCAGCGGACAAGGCTTTAAGAACAGGATCCTTTCCATTTCTCAAAAAACCTTCATTGGAATTAATCACAACACTGAAAAGAAAAGGAACAAATAAGTACTGAAAGCTGAACAACAACAACAAGCCTTATCCCACTAAGTGAGGTCAGCTATATGGACTGAAAGCTGAACAGGAAATGAAAAATAAGGCTTGTTGTCAATTAAGTATTCTAGACAAAGATTGTAAGGAAAATAAATGGAGAAAGCTAGTTGTAGAGTTATCAGTTACTTACTCTGTGGAGTACCATAGGTAATCAGATGCATCTCTTGTTGTATTTATCTGCTCCAGCAAGCCAGATGTTGTGAAGGTGCTATCATCAGTAGAGGCTGTTTCTTCATTGAACGCTTGCCAAGAAAGTCCGCCATGCATAGGAACACGAGTCATTTTCATCAGTGCACTCTGAGACCCAACCTGATCAGAGATACTTTATATTTCATTTGCTGAAAGTGACATCCCTAGAGTTCTTGGAAAAGAATACCCCATCCTTCATTTCATTGTAGATAAAATTTAACCAAATAAAAGATTTTATTTATAAATATAAATCTAATAAAAAGCTGCACATAGCAACCAAGAACTATCAACTGAAAATTACTTTCAGTGCACTAAAAATTTATACTTGGTCAGCTAGCCTAGCTTTTCTGTGATTAATATCTCTGTTATAATTGACCTATCTAATCATATGAAATAAAAAGCCATTTAATTTGTTTTCTCACCCTTGCAGTGTTATAAGCAGTGTTCTTGCAATCAGGAAGAATGCTTATAGACCATGGAGGTAAATTGTAATGCATATGTCCGAATGACACAGTTGCAAAAGATCTTGGGTTATAATTTGCAAGGAATGCAGCACAAGCTCCTGACTTTGATTTGAAGACATGAGCCTGGAAAAATAGTTAAAAGAAATTTATTAGTTATGAAGCATCTTTTTTTAAGATGTGTAATTTTGAAAATACTAAATTAAATTATTATACCTCTTGATAGCTTCCAAGCCGTGATACAGTAGGATCTGCAGATACTAAAGCAGGTTCACAGAGTTTTATTGCACTGTGTAAATCCTTCAAATGGCCCCACTTTGGCTGTCTAACCAGTCCTGCATGGAAAAGAGATGATGTTACTCAAAATTTTATGCAAAAAAAGAAAAATAAGCAAGGTATACATCTTAATGACTTTACTTTTCCTTGGGTGTATATGCATGGAAGAGACTAAGTAGACCACTGAAAAGGAATGGAGTCAACTAGACATGTGGGATATTCCACAAGTAGAATGGTCAACTATATTCATTTTGCATGTTACACAAATAGACAAACCCAAATAGTGGCTGATGGAAGCCATCAATATTATATTTTCACGGTCACAAATCAACGGATGGGTTCTGCTCCCACAAATCATTAAAGATGGCATTTTGGAGCATGACATACTAAAGTGGAATTACAGACCACATTATTTATTCCCAAGGGTCACCAAAAAAAAATAAAAAATAAAAGCTGAATAAAAACAAGTTCCAATTTTCGGTTTATGTTGGTTATAATAGTGGGTAACATTTTACTGCAGGATGCCTTGGACAGTTCTACCAACCATGTTACAGAATTAATCTCTATTTCTTGTCACGACTGAATTGAAAGCTCTAAAAATAAAACACATCAGTGGTTATGGCTCAAATATAGGATCAGGACTTGAAATCCTCCGTCTATACCATATTCATCGATAGGTGCATCATAATCATAGCTTGTAGCAATGAATGGACCACCAGCAGTTCGACCAAAATTTGTTCCTCCATGGTACTGGAATGAAAAAACAGAGAGATTTAGTTCAGTAGTTTAAAAAAAATTAAAAAAAAAAATCTATTGATTATTGAGTTCATGGATAACAAATATACCATGTAATAGTTAACAAATGATCCTCCTTTCTGTATAAACCTTGCAACTGAGAATGCCAAGTCTTCAGCCGGTCGGTGAGGAACTGGACCTCCAAACTCAGTATACCTGCATGCATAACATGCAGGAAGTGAACAATTAGATTGCTTCTCTGGCCTTTATGTCTCACGTTCTCAGTAAAACAAGAAGAAAATAATAAGGAGCCAAATCAAGCAACAAATTTATTATACCAGCCAGTCCAAGCTTCTGTCCACATCTTTGGTTTATAGGCCTTATTTGGAGAGAAATAATCACAATAGAAGCCGTTGCAAGTGTTAATCTGTCAAAAGTTACAGTGAAATCAGAAGCTTAAAACGTAAAAACATAAGAGTTATAGTTTCAACTTTCTAGCATGAAGCTCAACGATAAACAACACAACTTAGATGATGATGATGATGATGACGAAAACAGCTGAGCTGCACTTACAATAGGATCAGGAGCATCATCTTGCTTGCACATGACCCATGGAACCCCTGTGCCAAGTCCTACAGCCATATGAGCTGCCCATTGGGTATAGGTTTTACCAGGAGCACCAATTTCATACTCCATGGGTCCATATTCATTTTCAATCTGTACACCAAAGATTGTTTTAAAATACAACTTTCAGGGGGCACTTTCTCCTTTCCTCTCAAGGAAGAACAATAACAATTTTAAGAAAAACATCTGGTCGACTAGATATTCTAAAACAAGTGATTAGGTTAAGCAAAAGGTAAAGTGAATGTTTTGTCTACCTGGGAAAGAATTATCGGACCGCCCTGCGACTCAAATAACCTTTCTGCTTTCATCATATTGACGATCTTGCTTGTGAATTTTTGCATTTGGAACTTCATCATGGCAATACAAAAAATAAATAAATAAATAAAATAGCCAAGTAGAAGATTTTTTTTCAGCGATTCTTAAAGTATAGGGATGAGCGTTGTCTCACCTTGAAAGGCCCATTGTCTGTTCTGAAGTTGATGCCTGGAATGTACTTCAGCCAAACAGGAAAACCGCTACAAAGAGATCAAGTCTATTCGGTTTAGACATTTTTAGTTCAGACATGAAAACATTTTTTCTTTATCTGTCAAAAAAGTAAACCAAAGTTTCCCATCCATTACCCAAAATTCCACTCAGCACAGACATAAGGGCCAATCCTCAGATGAACATAAAGGCCTGCCTGCTTCACCAACTTTATGAACTTCACCAGATCATAGTTACCTTCAAAGTAATACTAAAATAAAGAAGGAAAAGAAGTAAACAAATTGGTTGTGATAATTACTATGCCCACATAAAAATGCACTGTTAAACACTGAAAGCAAAAGTAGTTTCGATGATTGATTACTTTGCCAGGTGAAGGTTCATGACCATTCCAGAAAACGTAAGTCTGGATAACATCCAAACCACCTTCCTTAGCCTTCTGAATAAGATCTGGCCACATCTGAAACCAGAGAAAAAGATAGAAACTTTAGGTAACCATTTGATAAAAACAGAGGGAAACTACGGACAAGCTTGAAATGACGAAGAAGTAGAGAGATTGACAAAGCACATTTCAGAGTGATAGTGAAATACCTCAGGTGTACTTCTAGGGTAATGAATGGAACCAGAGAGGAGAATCCTTCTTTGGCCATTGATAGTGATGGCTTTCCGATCATAAGATACAGAGGCTCTAGCAGAACCAATAAGTGAACTTGCTAGAACAAGAATCATCAGCACATTCCACATTATAATGAGCTTGAAGAAGCCCATGAGTACCATGAACAATAATGACTAGAAAAAAAAGTAATGTTGTTCTGCCTCAGCTTGGTAAAGCACTGGTTTTTTTTTTATTATATGCTTGTTGGATGGCCTTTTCCTTCTTTTCTTCACACTTCTTTTCCTTGTGTGAAATGGCGATTGAAGAGAAGAAAGCTGAAGAAGGAAAGTGAAGAGAGAAAATACGAAAGTGGTGTTCAGAGAGAGGGAGAGTGTTTTAATTTGGACAAAGTTCGAAAAGAGATGAATTTTGGTTTGGCTAAAACGGAGGTGCTTTGCAGCTGCTTTTAAACACCGCCGGGTGAAGACGCTGTTGAAGGGTTCGGAAAGAAAGTGGGACCCATTCCTTGCCCTTTACTTCAACTGACGCGGAACGCCAGCCAATGAATTTCTTTTTTTTAAAAAAAAATTATATTTACCAGTATTAATTTGTTTGGTTTAAAACTAAGTCCATATACTTTTTATTTTCTTGGCCAAAATATACTTTTATGTTAAATATTGATATATTTTTATTCAAATAATAAATAATTTTAATTTTAAATTAATATATTAATGTGTGAGTGTTTAGGAAAATTTGGAACAAATTATAATTTAATATGTTTATAAGTCATGAATTTTGTAGTTAATTTTTAAAATTTTATATTCATGTAAGAAAATTTATACTTTTTTACATTAAAAAGAATAATTGAATAAAAATTAAAAATATATATATTGCAAATAATTTCAGTTATAAATTTTATATCATTAATTAAAAGCTTTAATAGTTCTGCACCGTTGGCTTTAAATTTTTATTATTATTTCAAAAATTTTATTCTTTAAAATATGTATTTTTTAAATTTTATTATAATTATGAGTTGTAATTTTATATCAATTAAATACACTCTCTAGTATTTTTATGAAAAATACTTAGATTGACCAGGTATACCACATCATCTGTTCAATAAAAAATGACATTTAAATAATAATAAATATAAATTAATTTTAATATTAATTATAGTAGAGATAAAATGCAAGAAATTAAATGTACATTTTATTCTAAAAATAAAATTAATCAAAAGATATCGTACAAGATCTTATTTAAATTACTTTAAGCATTTAATTGAACAAATTATAAATGATATGGTGCATTTAATGTATCAAGTATTTGTCGTATTTTCATATCTACTTATAATCTGTTAGGAAGCATCAAATGAATTTTTTACTCTTCCAATTTTATTTTTAGAGTATTATTTAAGAACGTTAAACGCCCTTTTTATGCGATTTTCTAGTCCTCTAATTTTTAGAATGCCATTGGTGATGCTATTAATATTTTCTAACAAAAATAAGATGATAGTTGTATGTTTCGTTAATATAGTAAAATTGCGAGGTATCTCTCTCTTCCTTCTTTTGCTCGTTCTCATTTAAAACGACAGTCAGATTTTCACCAAAGAACAAAACGACAGAAAGATTCTCCACCCAATCCCAATACGGTCGGTACCTACTTCAGCTGCCCTGAGCTTAATGTTCACCCCAATTAAATTGCATCCTCGCGCGCGAATACCGCGAGTAACATTTACTCGCTTCCCCCACTTACAAAGTCACGTGAACTGCTTGGCCATGTTCGATAGAAAAAAAAAATGGGAGCATGGGATTATAATTGAAATTGAATAATCTCACCTTCTCATGTTTAGTATGAGAAAATAAAAATTTAATCTCAATTCTATTTAGATAAGAATATCCAATATCACCATCCTTTTAATATTGAAAAATTAATTCTATGTTTCATTGTTTTTAGACCAAATTGACTCTCCCTCTCTCCACTGTCTGTCTCCTTAACCCTCACTCAATCAACCCCTTTCACCTTTTACCCTTCTTTCAAACCAAGCGATGCTGATGCAGATGTCATCCTCTCATTCATCAATGCCGCTGCCAAATCTGAAGGGGGGAGGAGGAGATTGAAGATGAGAGAATGAGGAGAATGATTGATAACCCAAGCCTCTCCTCCTCGACATGAACCCGAGCTACAACTGCCTGAACCCATCACCACCTCTGGCATCCTCACTGCTGTCTATGTCCTTATTTTTTTCAGTATCATACTCCTTTCACAATTCAATCCTTTATGGTGGCCTCATTCTTTAATTGCTTCTAGAATTATGAAAAAATAATAGAGAAGAGTGAACATCTAGAAGAAAAGGGAAGAGGAAGAAGACAAGGAGGAGAAGCGGTAGACCCCTTGCTGTCATGTGGCTCTTTAAGAAGAAGGAGAGTGATCATATGAGTTTAGGGTTACAAGTTTTTTTTTAAAAAATTTTAAGAGGCATTATAAACTTTTTCATAATTTATATTTAATTGTAAAATAAAATAACAGCAAGTATTTCTTACAAATATTACTTCACACTAAACATGATTTTAAAGTTTGATTCTTACTCCCAATACCACTACCAATATAATTCAAATTTTAATCCCAATCTCAATCCCTCTAAATTGGGATTTGCATATCAAACAGATCCCTTGAGACTATCTTAACACTAAAAAGATTTACATTATGCATGGCTGATGGTATTAAATTATAAAGCTTTTACAGATATAGCCCCTATTATTAGATTAAACTAAGTAAACAGTCCAACATTTATTATATCTTACATTATAGTTGATTTATTATACTTGTCAATGATATATCATTGTATATCAATGATAAACTATTTATAAATTTCTAATGATAAACACATAATATAACAATAATAAATTCCTTGTATATCAATTTAAACTAGTCTTACTCTCAAATTTTTAAAAATTTGGTTTATGTTTTCTAAGCACAAGATTTTTTTTGGACAATGAGCCAATTTATGCTTAAATTAAATGTTAAAACAAAAAAAGAAAAGAAAATCATAAAATATATAGCAACAAACATTAATTGAAAAAATTGAAGAACTATACGAAGATAAAATAAACTCAAAAATTAACATTAACAAACATAATAATAATCTATGCTTTTAAAATTAGGAAAAAAAATAAAACAGAGCACCTTATTATGGTAAATGAAACTTAAGCATAGGCAAGTAGACGTGTTCCAAATCTGTATAAACCAACAAAATAAAAACTAATTTTTATTTAACTTACAGTAAAATGATGTTAGTCTCACTTAACACTGTTAGAGATACATTATTATCTCTCTAATCATATTTAAAAATAATGGGACTAACATTATACAAGAAAAAAGCCATAGGAACTTGAAGTAATAAAATAAAAGCACAAAAATTAATAACAAAATATAATAAAATTATAAGAACTTATAATTGTGTTTTTTCTAGATTTATTTATTAATGTTTGTTAATGTTAATTACAATAAATTGATCAACACTGTCATGTTTTCGGGTGTCGAGTCGTCTGGGGAATACGATTCAACTTTTCAAGTCCATCACGTGAATTATCAGCCAAATATATAGAGTACCTTTCACTGAATAAATTATTATCGGTACATACTATTAGTTCACGGCTGAAGAAAAAAAAAAAAAAAACTAATATCATTGGTACGAAACGCGAATGTAGATTGCAAGGTTAAATTCACGTGCAACCTTAGCGCGTGAAAAACGATGTTCACGCTAATGCTTTCTTCTTTTTAATAATCCAAAGTGCTCTCGAGTTCTCAGTTTTTAATCAGAGTCCTTTTTTCAACTCAAGTTATATATGTATCATTTAAACTAGCTCCATGATTTTATGTGTGTGTGTGTACATCATATTTATCAAATAATGTATAGTTTATAAATATAATTAAAAGAACTAACTTAATATCCCACACTTCTGGTTATAGATTCATACAACACAGACATGAGACATGCTTTGGTCAACTTTTGATATAAATAGAATATAATGAGATGTGGCTAATGAGCAATGAGAATAGGGGGTTGTGGGTGTGTGTGTGTGTCGGGATTTTCTTTTTTGACCATCATTTGGCTGGGAATTGAGGCTAAATGGATTATATATATTTATGATCGACTTCAAGACAATAGGATTGGTGTTTTTCAATTTACTTCGAAAATAATTGTTTTTCCCCCTCAAAAGATAGAGAATGAAAAATAAATCCCTTCTAACCAAGTTTACTCTGCCCAAAATATAACATGGAAGTTCATATTAATTATTTTATTAATTTGTTAACACAGGTTGATTATAATGGGAGTCCTTAAAACATCAAAGTCCAATTATATCATGTGATCACGTGTTTAATGGGCTAGACAAGTAATCTATTGAATCTAATTAGTGGTTGAAGTGTTAGCCATTATTATTAACTTTATTAAATGTATGTTTAATTTTTAATTTGTCAAAAATTCATTTATTGAAAGTTCATTTTGTAAAAGTCAATAGTTATAATGAAATTTATATTTAAATATATTTTTTTAAAAGTTAATTTGGTAAACTAAAAATTTTTAAATTATAATAATAAAATATGCTTTTGAATATATAATTACTTAAAAGGACATTAATTTATGATAATTTATAATTTTTATTATATAAATATAATATATTTGAAATATTTAAAAATTGTGATAAAAATTTTAAATAACATAAAATTTGATCTACAATGCTAAAAACTTGATCTCTAATTCTTTATACTTTTTTAATTTTTATTTATAAAAAATTTAATAAAAATTTATTTTTATTATACATTAATTCTAAAAATTAACATAATTAATTATTAAATTTATAATGTTAAAAACTTGATATCTAATTATTATTATTTAAATAATAATTATATTTTTAATGAATTAATTATTTTTACATAAAAAAATAAGAAATTAAACTTAAGATAGTATGATCAAATAACATCTTAAAATATTATCTCAAATAATTTTTCACATTTTAAAAGGTAAAAAATACTTTTAGAATATGAAAAATTGATTTACCAAACGGTGCCTATAACCAGTGGTTGAGCGTGCACAATAAGTATTACTAAAAAGGCTAGGTCTCTTTTCTAACACTAATTTATTGTGTACTTCCCCACCAAAAGTCACATAATCATGAGAAGGTATGGAGAGGCAGAATACCTAATTGGACTCAATAATCGCGTGCGCAACTATAACCTGTGATTTCGTTAATTTCCCATCACATGCATTAGATCACTTTTTTTTTTTTTATGAAAGATTTGTCGAGCTTTAACTTTGATGTGTTCTTATTGTACAGTTGAACGCAAACATACAGCTGTAACTGTCTTGATAATGATAATGAAAGGGATACAGATGACAGAGCCAAGTTAGACATTCATAACTGTGCAATTGATG